AAATTCATTGGATGAGATCGTCACCATGTTTGGACACTGCAGAAAAAATGGATCGGTGAATCTGAAAGTCAATCAAAAATAATTCATAAAGATCTATGCATCCCTATGTTCATGGCAGCACTATTTAGAATAGTCAAGATATGGAAGCAACCTAAATGCTCATCGATAGACAACTGGATAAAAAAGTTATGGTTCATATATACAATGGAATATTACTCAGCCATAAAAAATAAATCCTACCATTTGCAATGACATGGATAGACCTAGAGGTTATTATGCCAAGTGAAATAAGTCATAGAAAGATAAATACCACATGACGTCACTTATATGAGAACCCCAAGGAACAAAAAGAACAAACTAATTGAAAACAGACTCACAAATATAGAGGACAATCTGGTGATGGCCAGAGGGGAGGGGGGTTTAGAGGGCTGGGAGAATGGCGGGGAGGGTTAAAGAAATACAAATTAGTGATTGATAGATGTTCACGGGGATGGGGAGCACAGCATAGGGAATGCAGTCAGCAGTAATGTGATGGTTAGGTGTAGAGCCAGAGGAGAGAAAGTAATCAGGGGTATCATTTAATAAACTATATAAATGTCTGACCAATGTACTGTATACTTGAAACTAATAATAAAATTTTTAAATTTTTTAAAAATGATCCAAACAGAAATAATAAAATGAAAAATGAAGTCTCAGTGTTTTAAGAAATGATATCAATTCATCTAGCAAGAGAGTTGGATAGACCTTGAGGGCTTTATGCTAAGTGAAAAGTCAGAGAAAGGCAAGTACTATATGTTCTCACTTATATGTGGAATCTAAAAAGCTGAACTCATAGAAACAGAAAACAGAATGGTGCCAGGGACTACTGGGCGAGAGAAATGGGGAGATATTGGTAAAAGAGTATGAGCTTTCAGTTGTAAGATGAGTAAGTTTCAGGATCTAATATTCAGCATGGTGACTATAATTACCAGTAGTGTATTATATACTTGAAAGTTGTTGAGAGGAGATCTTAAATGTTATCACCATACACATACAAAGGTAATTATTTGAGGGGATGGAGATAGTAACCAACCTAATTCTGGTAATCATTTTATAATATATACATGTGTCAAATTATCACATTGTACACTTTAAACTTAAAATATATTAAATGTCGATGATATCTCAATAAACCTGGAAAAAAATTAAAGCTAGAAATAAAAGGAGAGGAGAGAATAGGGTAGGAAAAAATATTAGAAAAAATGTTGGGTAAAACTTCTGCAAATCTGATTTAAAACGTCAACCCACAAGCCTCAAAAAATCTCAGAAACTCCAAGTAAGATAAATGCAAAGAAAACCATACCTAACTTTAAATACAACTTTTAGAAGTTGTATTTAAACTTGTGAAAACCAAAAAAGAGAAAATATTGAAGGCAGCCACAGAAAACAACTATTGACTTCTCATCAGAAACAATGGTAGCGAAAAGAAACAGCTTTCAAATCCTAAAGGAAAGAAATGTTAACAAAGAATTCTATGTCCAGTGAAAATTTCTTTCAGAAATTAAGATGAAATGAACACATTTTTAGACAAAGAAAGCTGAAAACTTGTCACCTGTAGTATAAGAAATGTTAAAGGAGTACTTTATGCAGAAGGAATGTGTTAACAGATGGAAATTTGTATTCAAAGAAATAATGTCAGAAATGGTAAAGAGGTGGGTAAAAACAACACACATATTTTGTCCTTTTAAAACTATATAAAATAATTGAATGTTTAAAACAAAAAAATAATGACAACTATTAAAATGTTTGACCAAATCAGCTCAAAGAAGAGAAGAAGAAATGGAAGTATACTGTTGTAAGATAATTAAACTATGTCTGATGTGTTACAATACTATTGGATGGCAGACTATGATAAGTTAAAGATGTGTATGGTAAACCCTAAAGGTACTACTTACCAAAATAAAAACAAAAAAGTATAACTAGTAAGACAATAGTGAAGATAAAATGAAATATTAAAAAATAATTCAAAATAAGGTAGAATAAGAGGAAAAGGGGAAGAAATATTAGAAAGAAAATGAATAGTAAGATGACAGGTTTAAGCCTAACCCCATCAATAACCACATTAAATATGAATGGCTTACCAGTGCTGCCCAATAGTATTTTCTATGTTGATAAAAATGTTCTGAATCATGCCATCCAATTGATACCCACTACTCATATGTGCCTGCTGAGTACTTGAAACGTGGCTAATATAACTGAGGAAATTAGTTTTCAATTTATTTACTTTTAATCATTTTAAACTTGCTACTCTATTGACAATGAAGATCTAAACACTAATTTATAGGCAGAGAAAATCAGATTAGATAAAATATAAAAGTCCAACTATACGCTGTCTACAAGAAAAACCATTTTAAATATATAATGATACAGATAGGTTAAAAATAAAAGACTAGAAAATATATACCATTCAAACACAAAACAAAGAGAGCTGAAGTAGCTATATTAATATCACTCAAAGTAGAATTCAGAAGGAATAATAACAAGAATAAAGAAAGATACTATGATGACAAAGGGATAATTGATCAAAAATAACAAATTTAAATGTGCATGCACTTAAGAACAAAGTTTTAAAACATATAAAGGAAAAGATGATAGAATTGAAAGGAAAAATAAACTAAACCATAATTATATTTGGACATGTTGACACACATTTGTAAATTGATAGAATAGACCCCCAAAATCAGTAAGGATCTTAAACACTTATCAACCAACCTGTCCCCACTGGTATTTCTGAAAAAGTCCACAAAACAACAGAAAAATAAACATTATTTTCAAGTTCACATGGAACATAACTGAGATAAATTATATTCTGGAGTGTAAAACAAGTCTCAGTAAATTTGAAATGGACTGAAATAATAGAGCTATATTCCCTGACCGAAAAAGAACTAAACTAAATATCACTAGCAGAAAGATATGAAAAAAATACCCAAATGTTTGGAAATTAAACCACATGTTCCTAAATAACCCACAGGTCAAATAAGAAATCACAGGAGAAATTAGAAAATATTTTGCACTAAATTAAAATGAAAATACAATCTTAAAATTTGTGGGATGCAATTAAAGCATTCCTTAAATTGAAGTATATGCCATTAAGTATTTATATTAAAAAACAATAAAGGTCTAAATAGCAGTGATCTACCTGAAGGAACATAACATCTACCTGAAGGAACTTAAAAAGAGCAAATGAACCTCAAAATAAGAATAAAGATGAAAGAAGAAGTCAATGACATAGAAAATGGAAAAAAAATTAACAAAACCAAAGTATGTTCTTTGAAAAGATTTTTTTTTAATTGAACTTTAGTCAGAAAAATAGGAGACACAAATTGCCAAAATCAAGAATAAGAGACATCACTACAGAGGCTACAGACATTGAAAGAATAAAGGTGTACAATATTACAAATGTAATACCACTGCACTGTGTATAATTGTATTAACCAGTGGTACTCCAATAAACTTAATTTTTAAAAAGTTTTTTAAAAAAGCACATGGATGAAAATTTCCTTAAAATATATAGTTATATGAAATATGTATTAGGTTTTTATTAGCCTGGCACAGACACACACACACACACACACACACACACACACAAAGAATACAGATGATACTGTGAATAATTTTATTGTGGTGAAATACATATAACATAAAATTTACTATATTAACCATCTTTAAGTGTACAGTGCAGTGGTATTACATTTGTAATGTAGTACATTACTACCATCCATCTACAGAACTCTGCTCATCTTAAAAAACTGAAACTCTATACCCATTAAACAACTCTCCATTTCTCCCTTCCCCCAGTCTCAGGCAACCAACATTCTACTTCTGTCTCTTTGATTTTGACTACCCTAAGTACCTCATATAAGTGGAATCATACAGTATTTATATTTTTGTGATTGGCTTATTTTACTTAGCATAATGCCCTCAAGGTTTATCCATGTTATAGTATATGTCAGAATTTCCTTCCTTTTCAAGGTTGAATATTCCATTGCATTTATATACCACATTTTTCTTATTTGTCCATTGATGGACATTGGGTTGCTGTCATATTTTAGCTATTATAAATAATGCTCCTATGAAAATAGGTGTACAAATATCTCTTTGAGACCCAGACTTCAATTATTTTGAGTATGTATGCAGAAGTGGAATTGCTGGTTGGTTCTATTTTTAATTTTTTGAGGAACTGCCATACTGTTTTCCACAGTGGCTATACTATTTTACATTACCATCAGGAGTACACAAGGGTTCCAATTTCTCCACATCTCTACCAACATTTGTTATTTTCTTTTTTTTATAGTAGCCATCCTAATGAAAAAAAAAAATTCTATTAATTAAGCCACCCAGTCCATAGTACTTTGCTATGGTAGCCCTAATAAATTAATAGAGTCTTTCAAAGAATTTATTCATTTCACTAAGTTGAATTTTGTGGCATAAAACTGTATAGGGAAATGCAAATCAAAGTTACTAGAATATCATATATTCAATGCACAGGTCTCATATATCTTTTCATATTGTTGATGCTATGTAATTGACTATATATACAAAAGGTGCCAAGTTAATTCAATGAATAAGGGGTAGTCTTTTTAACAAAAAGAACAGGATCAATTTGGTATCATATAGAAAATGCTAAATTTTGACCCTTACTTCATACCACATGCAAAATAACTCAAAATGTATGTTTACATACGTAATCTTAAGAGTTAGAACTATAAACCGTCTAGAAGAAAATACAGGAGAAAATCTTTGTGCAGTTAAGTTAAGCAACAATTTTTTACTTAGGATACAAAAAAATTCAAACTATTAAAAATGATAAATTGGACTTCACGAGAATAAAAATCTTTCTCTTAGAAAAAATTAAAATCTAAGCCACAGACTGACAATATTTATAAAACATATACATGACAAAATATTTATAACCAGATTATTTAATGAACTCTTATAACTCAGTAACAGGGAGTGAACAATTCATTTTTAATTAAACTTCTTTATTTAATTATATATTTACATGCAGTTGTAAGAAATATATCTCATGTTGCAGTTATCCAATTTCTCCCAATAATAACATCTTGCAAAACTATAGTACAATGTCACAACCAGGATATTGACACTAATACAATCAAAAGACAGAACATTTCCATCATAAAATTCCCTCATTTTTTCTCTTCCTGGGATTCCTGTTACAATGACGTCAGAACTGTGGGATCTATATGTACTCCATGTCTCTTTAAAGAATTTTTAAAAATACATCTTTTCTCTTTGTTCTATTTTCTTAGAATTCCTAGGCCTTAAGTCCAAATTTGTTATTTCACACTTCGGCTGTGTCCATTCTTCTATTCAGCTCATTTTTGAGGTTTTATTTTGGTAATATTTAGTATTTTCTCAAACTCTGATTAATTTTTTAGTCTGTTATTATTTCATAGCAGCAATATCCTTCTTGCCCTCTTAAAGTTATTACAGTTCATTTAAAGTCCTTGTTCCATGAGCTCCATTTTACTTCCAGTTAGTTCTTATGTGTGTAGAGTTTGCAGCCATCTTTTCATGTGATTGGTCTTCCTCAGTTTGGTGATCTCGGCAATTGGCCCCTACCAGCCCATCTGCAGCCTTCCTACATGAAAGTGAGGAAGGGGCAGTATGTGCTATGGGCAACCATTCAATTACAGAGCATGAGGGCTCCCTATCCAGCCCAAGTGCCTGCTTCCCTGCCTACTGCCCCAGCCCATCTGCAGGGTGAGCCCAGACAGCTAGCACTTCACGGGGCCAGGAATGCATGAAATGCAAAGAGCTTATTTTCCAAAAGAAGGCGTATGGTCTCAGGGATAGAGGCCAAGTCCAGTTGGAGAGTGACTCTGGGCAAATAATATCACGTGAACCTTGATTTCCTCATCTGTAAAATGGCCATATTTCCAGCATGCAAAGCTACAGTGAAGGTTAAATTGTATTTAGTAACATATGCAAAACATCCAGCAGAGGGCCCAGGGCACAACAGACACACTATAAAGGCAGCTGTAATTATTTCTATTTTATCTCACTTAGAACAAACACCCCTGTGGTGTGATTCAAAGCTTACCCTAACAAGCTTTATTTGAGGCTGATGGAACTTTACACTGTTCTCCAACTTCAGGCTGATTTTTCCTTTAGGTTGCCTTATCCCAATCCTATGGCCAGATTTCTGGGTCTGCTCCAAGGAAGGCTCATCTCTCCTGTGTTCTCCTGTAATACTCTTCTTCCTTCAAACACCACCTCCTCCAGGGCACCTTCCTGGACTTCCACAATCCTCTGCACTTACCTCCAACATAACTCATAACTTGATGAATAAAAGTGTTTACATGTCTTCCCAGTTGGACTCCTGAAATGGAAGAGCCAGCACACAGATGCACATTCTTTCACCCTGTGCTCCCATGTCTAGCACAGAAGTGCTCTGAGAAAGGGATAAATGAATAAATGATTGGCAAAAAGCAAAAAATCCTTCCTGTGCCGCAGCTTCCCCAGCATCTTTGCAAGGAAGCAAAACCAACCAAAGGCTGAAGAGTGGAGATACCAACAGATTTGCAAACATTGCCTGGTGATCAAAGGAAAATCTGTCCAATAAAGGCAAATATTTTATCATCTACATATTTAGTTTTTTCTTCTCCCCCTTCCATAGCCTCTCTAAACCATCTGCTTCTTCTCCCAATTTTACAATAGGAAATGAAAACAGAAAAATCTCTCTTAAACATTTTTTTTTTTATTTCTGTTATTTGGTTTTCTAGTTTGGTGCACATGAGCTGTGGCTGTAATTCACACAGAAGCTGACATATCTCATTATGAAACGCCCCATAAAACAGAGCACATATGAATCACCTGACATGGTTTTGCTTCACCTGGTTGTTATTGCTGAAATCTCTATTTCTAAGAGCACAAAAGAGAACATTCCTTGAATCTACAGATGTACAAGGACAGGGTGAGGGGCAGCCTGATCTGCTAGAATAAGAGAGAACAACCAGGGGTCCTGGGTGGCTGTCTGTAGAGACATGAATGACACAGATTGAGAAGCCACACACAAATTCCAGAAAGACCAGGACAGCTGGGGAAACACTCCAGAACTAAATCTCATCTATCACCCGCTCTGGCTTTCTTGGTCCTAGCAGATTCTGAAATAAACACAATGGCCCAGGTGGCATAATACCAAAGCCAGCAGTGGCTACTCTATAGCCTCAATCACTGAAGGAGTATGTTTTATCCTGGAGCCCCCAGTAGACCTCTCCTGTGCAGGACCACTGCCCCTCCCCTAACCAGACCCCTATATTTCCAGCTAACTCCACAGCCAGACCCAGGCAGGCACTGCCCAGCTCTAAAATGTCTTGCCCTCAAAAGCCTGGAGATTGAAGGCAGTATCCAGAAACTTCTTCAGAGACACCAGGTGAGTGTTCCTGTTTCCTGTGGCTGGTGCAGCCGCTGGGTCACGGCCAACATACCTGGAGTAGGAGAGACAAGATAAGGGGAGAGCTGGACCTGGCTTAGCCACTACCCCAGGACTTCATCTGATCTAATCTTTATCATTGTCCTGCTGTAGCGATGAAGAGCCTGAGACTCCAGGAGGCTAAATAACTAATTGACCTAAGATCAAAATTAGGAGATTTAAGACATGCAAGAGGTTCTTTAGTTCTGTTGTGGCTACAGAATAAGAACAAAAGTTTACTCTCATAGAGTGGTATTGACTGGGGTCCCTGATGGGGAAGCTGACCTGTCACTAATGGTCACAGAGCCAGTAGGGACTGTGGTTTCCAATGTGGCCCAGAGAAGGGTAGTGACCAGTTCCAGGTCACACAACAATGGGGCAGGCAAAGGCAGAATGGAGTCTCAGGTCTCCAGAGCTCTCAGACCCTGCAAAGGCAAAGGGCAGGTGACAGGCACCCCCACACCCAGCCTTGTACCATATGGGCCGTGCCCGACTCAGGATGGTCATGAAACGCGGGCTGATGTAGTCATAGTAGCCCATGTTCTTGTGCTCCTCCTGGCACCACACCAGCTCTGCACTTGGGTACTTCTCTGCCTCTTGCATGATCAGGTCAAAGGGGAATGGAGAGATCTGGGGCAAACAGGAAGAAAGGGGAGTGTAGCCAGGGGAAGGGGAACAACACAGCTCCTCTTAGAAGAGGGGAACAACGGGCCCCAGACCTGGCCCTGCCTGGCACACTGCCCAGGGTCAAGGGGCTGGCAATCTGACCTTGTCCATCATTCTGACTAGGTGTACCTGCTCCAGGCGTGTGATGGCCACTTGCTCCTCCAGGCCCTGGCTGCTCCGCTCCTTCACCAGGTCATAGTACACTTTTCCTGTGCAGAAGATGAGCCGCCTCACCTGCTCAGGAGCTTGTGCCGCGGCCCCATCCTCAGGAATCACTCGCTGGAAGCTGGTTCCTGGGAAACCGACAGGGTATGGTAGAGGTATCAGCTCCCAGAGGGGCCAGAGAATCTTGGGAACCAGGCCTGCATCCCTGGCAACCCCAGGCTCTCCCTGGCCCTTGAGACTTGCCCCAGGTTTAGATCTAGGCTACACTGGGCATCTCCTGAGCAAAACAATATAGAAAGGGGCAGATGAAACCTGAGATATCATAGGGAGAGAGTTAGAGTCAGGAGCTAGAGCCAAGGGCAGAGCTCTGGGAGGATCAACATTCAAGGTAATGTGGAGGTACGATAAGAAGAGCCCCTGGCAGGGATAGGAAAGGTGACATCACAGCCCCATCTGATGGCATCACTGTCTGTCCCAGTCCTGCTCCCCATACAGTTGTGCCCACCTCTTTTGTGCACTCTAGCCACCCAATCAAGCTAGAAGGGGAGCAGCTGTCTCAGAAGACCACAGAACAGTCCTCCCTCCCTCAGTCCCACAGTCAAGCCCCCATCTTCAAGTTCTACCCATTTTTCCTTCCTGAGCTCTCATCATATGCCGGGTACCAGGCCAAGCATGCTGTAAAACCTCTGAGGAAGCTACTATAGTGTTCCCACATCCCAGGTGAAGACAGTGAGGCAGAGACGGTAACAGCCTGCCAGTCCTCAACAGAGAAAAGCCAGCACCAGGCATCCAGCCCAGGCTGTCCAGCCCCAACACCAGAGCTCTGAACTGCCGACTTTGCCACCTGCCCACACCAGAGGGACGCCCAAACACAAAGTGAAAGACAAATGCCTGCCCAAGCTGAGGAGGTCCTTCCTGAACAGATTTGCCGCTCCCTCTAGGACCCAGGACCATTCTCTAAGACAGCTTTGCTTTGCCTCAGGGCCCCACGCCTGTCACTCCCTGATCCTCCACTGGCTAATGTCTCAATTCCAACACCTGGCCCTTCAGGTACTTTATCTGATTGACCCCTGAGTCCCAGGTAAATGAGACTGAGAGCTCCTGGAGTGGACACCGTGTCCCCAGGGACAGTAATGTCTATTTGGCTCATGAGTTAAAAAACAAACATATGACTGAAGAAATGATCATCAGTATCCTGCGAACTAGGCAGAACTCAAACAGGCATGCCGCCTCTACACTCCCCTGGCAAAGCCAGGCCGGCCCTGCTGGGGCCAGTACACTCCTCTGGCTCTAGTGATCAACCCATGACCCAACCTGGATCAGGCCAGCTGGCTGCAATGCCAGCCTCCCAACCCAGACCAGGTGGGAGTTGCTGCATGACCTTTAGAGCCACAAGTAGAGGCATAGATGGAAGAGTCCCAGGAGAGGCCAGGCCACAAGTGACCAGGCCCCACATCAGCCACCCCCCAGCATGCCCAGGCACATACCACACAGCATGTGGTCAAAGTTGGACTTGGCCTCTGGGTGCCTCAGTAGAGATTTAGGTGTGAAGATGATCAGCTGAAAGAGAAACGTGCCCAGCTGCCAGCTGCCCCTACCAGGCCAGGGCTCTCTACATTTGGCCCCAGCACTATAGTGGTGACCAGGGAGGGCGGCTCACCGGCTTGCGGAAGGGCAGCAGGATCTGCCGGCGCAGAACATGGAAGTAGCTGGCCGGAGTGGAGCAGTTGACCACGATCCAGTTGCAATCGTAGAGCTGGCTTACCTCGAAGTCCTTGGTGAATGTCTGAGGGGACAGTGTGTGGCTGAGAGATGGCCCGCCTGTGGTACCCAGGCGGTGGCCTTACCTAGCACAGCAGATGCGGGCAGCACTCACAGGGTAGGCATCCGAGTCATCATTGCTCATCTGCAGGAACCTCTCAGGCCTCGCTGAGGAGTGCTCCGGACCCTGAAAGCAAATGCCAGATGGCCCAGGCTGGCCTGAGTGGGGAAGAGGGGTGGGATGTCACACAGGACAGACACCTGGCATTGCAGGGTCCCAGGTCTCAGGAAAGAGTAGGGACAGATTCTCAGAGAAGTTGCCCTCCCTCTGAAGCCTGGAAAGAAGCAGGAACGTGGGAAAAGACTAGGGAGGGCATCCTCTGAGGGGGTCCAGCCAGAGCCAGCACATTTGAACACGTGGGGTGGGAGTAAAAGGCAACCAGGAAAAGCTGAGAGGCTCTTCCTCCTTGTGCTCTGACCTACAGCAGCTGCTGTTCACTGAGCGCCTGCTGTGCCTGCTGTGCACAGTTCTACAGACCCCACACACAATATTCACTGGTCTTGAAAGCAGCCCCGTGATGAAGACATGCCCTTCCTCACTTTACAGATGAAGAAAAGATTAAGAAACAACCTCAAGGTCACTCAGCCAGAAGGGGCAGATGTAAACCCTGGAATGACTCTTCCTCCTGTACTCGCCCACATGGGCTGCTATGTTCCATGAGAGCAGAAAATCCCACACTGACCTCCAAACTGGCTCCCCATGCAGCAGGGGTGACCTACTCCACAGCCACCACCTGCCCCTCCCAAGGACCCAGCATCACAGGCACCAGCCGGACCAGCCCAGACCTCCTCACTCAGCCTGGCTCGAGCTCCATCAGTGAGAAGATTTTATAGCTGGTGACTCTGGGCAGGTCATGCCCCTTCTCTACTCAGGTGTGAAATGAGAACAGGACCAATGCCCAGTCCTGTTACAAGGATTTCACAGCATGTAAAGTGTTTTACACAGCATGTAAAGTGCTCAGCACAGAAAGTCCTGGCTCTGCAGTAATGACAGTGCTGGTCAGCCCCTGACTAGATGACTATTCATAGCTGAGTGGCCCTCAGGGACATCCACGGCAGCCCGATGACCCAGGGTGGGGAAAGCCTTGCCCCAGGTCACACAGACAAGCCCACCCTGCTCAGTGCTAGCCCTGCAGCCAGCACAGCCCTGCCCAACCCCCATTTGGTCAGGCTGCATGAGCACTTGGGTGGCATCTCAGGATGCTCTGCTCCTTCTCTTCTCTCTCCTACTGGCCTGCATAACTCCCCTCCCCCAACATGTGGCTGCACAGGTTGGTCATCCAGGAGGGGACCAGAGGACAGGCAGTACTACACAGATTAAGTTTAAGTCCAAGATACTAGCTATGTGACTTTGGACAAGCTAGTTTACCTCTTTGTGCCTCAATTTCCTCATCCGGAAAATGGGAACAGGACTTACTTCATTAAGTTATTGTAAGGATTAGAGGAGCTAATACACAGAGAGAGTTTTAAACAGAGCCTGGCGCATAGCAAGCTCTGAGATATGTCAGCTATTTCTGTTGCTAGTAACAGTAGTGTCATCACCTTCAGCAGTGGCAACACAGACCTATGCAGGCCCCACCCTAAGCAGACCCATGTGTTCCAGGGGTCCAGAAGGTACATATGTTCCAACCCTGCACACAGCCAAGGGTCCACCCACCCTTTCCCAGGACTGACAAAGCCCCAGGCCCTGGTCACCAGGCAGCCCTCACCATGCCTTCCATGCCATGAGGCAGCAGCAGCACAATGCCATTGTGTCGAACCCACTTGGCCTGACCGGTGCTGATGAACTGGTCAATGATGCACTGGGCCGTGTTGTGGAAGTCACCAAACTGAGCCTCCCAGAGGACCAGGGCGTTGGGGCTGGCCATGGCATAGCCCAGCTCAAAGCCTACACAAAAGACATCAAGACAGAGCCTGCCACACACTGTCACCAAGTACCAGTGGCTCCAGTCAAACCCAGCCTTTCCTCATACATACTCCCTGCTCCACCCATGTCTCCCAGCAGGCCAGAAGAAGCCTGGGGACTCCTCGGGGTCCAAAGGCCAGGATCTCCCTTCCTGGGAACTAACAACATGCCTAAAGAGGCCACCTCAGGCCTGACCACATGTATGGCCAGCTTTGGCTTTATCCAGACCAGGAGCCAAGTCCAAAGATACCCTGGGGAGGCAGCAGAGGCTGCCTTCCAAGAGGACCCCCCAAAATATGTGCAGGGCTGCTGAGTGGAAGGGTAAGGAACAGTTCTCTTGGGGTTGCTGCTTCTGGGAGGAGGCAGTAAGGGAAGACACAGGCCAGCAAAAGATCAAGGGAGTACAGCAAAAGAGGGAGAGAGTACAAGGGGACACAGTCTGGGCAGCTCTGAACCTGGAGAGAGTATGTCAAGACAGGGATGCTGGGTGCAGAGTAGTGGAGGCAAGACAAGGGTCAGGAAAGTGGAGCAGGCCAAACCAGGCTTAGGACCAGTTGGTGGCTGTGTCCACAGTGGATTCTATTAGAGTTTTCTGGGCCCGCTGAAACCCAGGGACAGGGTTCTGGTATCCCAAGAGCCCCTCCCAGGCAAGTTACCTGAGGGGCCAGATGAGACAAGACCCCATCTCACATGTATGCTCAGGTTGGGGAAACCCAACTACCACCCCTCAAGACTCAGGTATGCCCCGGGGCCTCTGAGCCTCTTAGCCCCTGGCTCCTTCCCAGCTCCAAGCCCAGTCTATGGTCAAAACAATAAAGACAGGACACCTTAGGATACAAGCCACTCTCCTGTCCCCAGGTGTCTCAGGCCCTGCCTGACCTGCGGCAGAGTCTGACCTACCCAGAACTCCATATTCCGAAAGGGAGCTGTTGCACACAGTGTACGGGGCCTGGTCAGGCCAAAGATGGTTCATGGGGACGCATGTCCTCCGGTCAATCTCTTGGTCGTGGAGAACATGGTGCCGATGACTGGAGAGAGACAGACCAGGAAGGGATGGAGGGCAGGTGGACTGATACTTATTCACCCAGAGCAGGTGGGCCAAGTATCAGGAGGCAGGCAAACCCTCATCACTGTGCCAGGAATTCTGACAGAGTCCCACAGGATGGAGACACCAAGAAGGTCCTGAAAAGCCAGAGCGATCGATCTCTTCCCTCCTTTAGGCAGCCTCCCTCCCAGCAGTACCCACACACCACACACTGAGGGTCTTGGAGCACAGACATGAGAGTCTCAGCCTCTAACCTGTTAGAAAGGAATCGACTAGACCTGCCTTGCTGACCCCCAAGTGCTAGGTAGAATCTGAGACCCTGAGAGCCCACACCCCTGGGGCACTGTCACCCTGCCCATCCTGCTAGCTCCTTCAGGACCTCACTTGCTCTGCCCAAGTTCACAGGAGGCAGGAACTGCAGAATGAGGGGGACCACCTGGTTACACCCCATGCCCAAAGAGGACTGACATGCAGCTCAGTGTGCAATGGAACAGCCCCCTGTGCCCCCAGTCAGAGCAAAGCCAGCAGTGATGAGCAACTGGGACTTGAGAAAGATGGCTTGTCAAATCCTGGATGCCACAGCACCATGACTCGCTAACATGGCAGTGATCAAGTCAGGATCCAAAACATTTGGGGTCCCAACCAGAGGAAACATGATGGAGATAACTGACAAGTATAAAGCTCTTCCTTCACTTGGACTCAAAAACTCAACTGCAAACAAGAAAGATGTGAGAGGGGTGGCTTGACAGCACGCGCGCACACACACACACACGATCATGAGGACTACAAATGACCACAAGGCTTGATATCAATCAACAGCTTGGGCCAAGCGGTCAGTTCTAGATGTGTCAGTTCCTGTGGGGGTGAGAGGGGTGGCCCAGCGGCTCTCTGATGGCTTGGCCCAAGGGTGGGGGCTAGAGATGCTTATGGGGTTACCTGTGATTACCTCAGCCGGACAAGGGCCCTTCATGGACTCTTTAGACAAGGGCTAAGAAGAAGAAAAAGGGCCAGCTCCATTCTAGAGCTCCTGAGCTGACTCTAGGAGATCCCAAACACAGCTAAGGCCTCAGCTCCCCCATGGGCTTTATGGGAGAAAGGCTAATAATGTCCACAGGGCCTGGAGTCCCTGACTCTCACCTGAACGTGCCCCTCTCCACGTCCTGCCCACTGAGCCGCACATGGATGCCCTCTTTGAGCAGGGAGCCAAAGGCCATGTACTCTGCCAGTGCCCAGTCTACAGTCCGCTTCTTGGTCATGTCTGCACGGCTCCGAAGGATTCGAGAGAGGCCTATAAGAGGAAAGAGCCAGCTTGAGGGACCCAGGGGCTTGGCCACTACTCCTACCCCAAGACAGCCGTAGCCCCAGAGACCAGAACCAGGTATGTATGTACTCAGTATACACCCTTCCCACAGAGCAGGACCCAGGCCAGACACCCCCCCTCCAGCACTGCCATTCTGGCCAATACAATGGGCTAGCCTGAGCCCACCATCCCCACCAGCCTCCTTCCCTGTGAGAAGGAGCAGGTACCACTGGGTAAGCACCTGCCATGTGCACACACTGCATGTACTTTGTTGGGTACATTCCTTACAACCCCATGGAGCAGACTGTTCCCACTCTCCAGATGAGGAGACTGATACTCAGAAGAGAGAAGTCATTTAATCACATTCACACATCTATAAAAGTGCTTGGATTTAAACTCAGGCACCCAAGTCACGGTGGGCTCTTGTTGGCCCTACATCTGCACAGACCCCCTGTGACACGCACATAGAGTAGGTGCCCCAGAACACCTGGGTTTCCATGCACACTATGGAGGAATCCCCTGGGAATCTCCACAGGCTGGTAAGAAGGAGCACAAGTGCCCCACTCCCACCGTGGGGGCTCTCGAGGCTGCCCAAACAGAGACCACAGCCAAGATTTGCAGCCAGCAACCATCCACTAGCCCAGACTCATCCAGGAGAAGCAGTCACCTATGTCATCTATCCAGGATGCTGGCAAGCCCAGCACTCCTGCCTCCCCACATTCTAGGCCCAATCACTTCCTCCATGGGAAGCCCTTACTTCCCTGCTCTCCTTCTGCCTAATTCAGGGATACCATGTAAGCCTGGGCTTCAGAACACAGTTGGGAGTGTGGCATACACATCTGCCCATCCTGAGAGGAGCTATTATCACAGTGACCTCACAGGGCACAAATGAAGCTCTGAGAGCTCAGCTGACACACCAATGACCAAGTGGAAATGTAGGCCAGGCCTCCCTGACCTCTGATGCCATCTCTCTTGGGGCACAATGTTGGATCTGAGAAAGTGGTCTATGCTGAAACCTGTGCAGCAACCTCACCTGTGTGGATCTTGAAGTCCTCCAGGGGCACAGAGCTGGCCACATCGCCAATGTGGCTCAGCACATCCTCAGGAAT